TGTAACGGTAGAAGACGAGAGACTTGATAAAGGAATATTTGTTTGGAATTTGGTATCTCTATGTGGCCAAACTATGTACACCTGATCTTCAACGCACTTATCATTCTCACAAATCTGTCTCCCTGTCATTTGATGTATTTTGTACCGATGAACATCTCTTTACATACTACTGATAAATCTTATCAGTAGCACACGCCACAACCCCAGTGTCTATTCATAGGGAGAATCTAAAGGAAGTCATCTGTCTGCCTGACTTACCTCGACTGTATTGTTTCAACTACAAGCAGCACGGATGGGGATGTCATAGTCAGTCAGGCGTTCAATACTTTGTGACTGGTGTGTAGATCTCAACCACTCAGGAAAAGTAACAAGATCTGAACTATTGAAGACCAGGGAGTACTGGGCAGCTGTTTCATCCTAGTTTGGGAATCGTCGGCAGTACGCACCCACCACAGTGGGGTTCGAATCCAGGACCTTCCGGTTACAAGGCCAGCTAGCTGGCTCATATACCATTCAGCCACTGGGACCCGACCCGATTCAATGGCTAGCCCATTACATGAATTCTAACTTCTATCAATTGATGATTTAATGCGACCCCAACCAGTGTCGTCTGTGGGACATCCATCCTCACACTTGACTGGATGAACCTCACTGTTCATGACTTTTCACTAGAACTCCAGGAAACTCCATCCTGTAGCAAGTCACTAGCGAGCATTAGGTTAATTTTTTATAGTTTGGTTCGTAAGAGCTAGTTACGTTTTTACGAGTTGATCACGGATTGATATCAGTTAGAGAACCATTGAAAACCAGGGAGTACTGGACAGCTGTTTCATCCTAGTTTGGGAATCATCGGCGGTACGCACGACACTGGTTGGGGTTGCGCTAAATCACGAATTGGTAGAAGTTAGAAATCATGAGCCATTGAATCGGGTCCAAGTGGCTCAATGGTATACGAGCTTGCCTTGTAACCGGAAGGCCATATCATCAACTGTCTACAGCCACTTGTTTGGCTTTTAGCGTCCCGATGATCCCAACCAGTCAGGAAGTCTACACCTCTCCCTATGTGGTTGACAAGCTGGCTGGCTTCAACTAACTGCTATGGATTTCATTGATTGATGAAGCCGTGTTTTCGTTTGACCACCACTAGCTTTCTCTTTTCCTAGCACTCAACCGATGCCTCACCTCAATATTGCTTACAATATTATACCACTTAACTTGGGATATAGAATGCAGACACCTATAATCTTTCACTTCCAATGACCATGTCTCACTCACAGCCATAAAGGAGGACAGAGAAAACTGCTGCTTAGAAGTACACACGTCCTCTGATCAACAGACAGATATCACGTCTACGCCACAGATGGCGTAAATTGGCATATGCCAAACAAGCCTTCTATATCCGTGATGAGATTTCGTCAGCGATCAACTCGTTCGGTCTGATGCAATTTCCCAAAGAAGTCAAGTGGTCGACGCGCTCCACCAACGACTTCACCTCCCTATCTTTAAGCTAGAATTGAGTCGATGTAGTCCACTCCTGTAGCATTATCTTACATTTGACGGGAGCAAATCGCACGCCAAGCACTCGAAGATTGCTGCTCCTCAAAGTGTTCTCAGAAGACTCTGTATTTTGTCAGCACCTTCACCTCACCTAGGAGGACTATATCATCTGCATATTCTAAGTCACCAAGATTATTCCCTCCCTGGTAACTAGTCAATCCCTGAAGTCAATTAGGGTTAAGTCCATTAGTACAATATCCATGATGAAATTAAACAAAAATGGGGACAGTGGGCTGGCATCCCTGACAGACACCACTAGTTTTCACTACTTCAGATGACAACTCTCCGTAGGCTCTCACCTGGCTGGCTGACTGCATGAGTTCAAGTAGAGTGAGTACCTTGATTAGCACTCCCCTTCACAGCCAAACATCGCCATCAGGTCAAGAAATATGACGATTGTTGGACACCGATACGAATGCCTATGTTCCAGAATGCTTCTTTTCAGACAAAATGACGACGTCGATGAATATATATTTTACCTGAGGATTCTATACCAGGGAGAGTAAATATGCCAGCGCAAGGAATCACTCTGAGAATTCCGTACTGTAGTCAGACATGGTTATAAAATCGACTACTATTGACTGAGTTTCAACGTAGAATTTTGCACACAGATGTGCACCAGTTCCACTTTTTGCCAGACTCCATGTAGCACTCAAAGGTAGACAAACGACAGGAAAAAAAAGGGATTCAAAGGGACTACAATGAACACCATTCTCCGGTAGGAAGAATAGTAACATGAAAAAAAAGAAAAATACGATAGTTTACTGGATCATTAAAGATCGCAAAGAGTGAATACATCTCTACATCACGAGTGAGAACAATTTTGAGCGAATTCATCATACAGTCTCTGAAACCATTACTTCTTAGCATCTTGAAGACTTCAACTAGGCAGTGTACACCTCTGTCTCTCCACAGAGCTGATTCAAACCAACTGATGTCAAGTTTTGGTTCGATCACCACCCACCCCTATATGTCAGCCAACATTACTTATCGATGGAAGGCGGTAGCTTTGCATACACAACACTTGTCCCAGTCTTATCTCAATCGATGCACCTTCGCAACCTGACTGATTTAGGATAAAGCCGATATCATTATCTGTCTGTTTTCGACATAGAACTTTGCACAGATGTGCACCAGTTCAAGTCACCACACTCCCTCCATATAGCACACAAAGCAAGAGAAGAAAGTAGGAGAAATGCATATTTGAGACAGTAAACAGAGGTGTGAGACAAAGGTATAGTAATAATGAAGAACAATATAGTTTCATTGGAAATTATAAGTCACAAGGAGTGGATGCATATGCGCCACTGAGAACGATTTGGAGCCATATCACCAATTGTCTCCAGCCATTGGTGTTTACCGTCTCGAGGACCCCGACCAGGAGGCCAGTCTACACCTTCCTACGTGGCTTAAACTCGTAAGATTTAGATATGATAAAGAAGATTTGTAGCTCAGGAGGATGATTTTGGTGTGGTTGTGTTCTCTGAGCTGGATAGTTAATTTGCGAAGCTTTCATCACCCTACTGGGTGTCATCTTCAGCGCATACTTCAATTTGGTTTAAACTAGCTGTTGTGGATTTCATTGACTGATGAGGCCATGTTTTTGGTTTGACCACCACTAGCTCTTTTCCAGCCTGATCCTATGTCAGCTAACATTGCCCACTGTCGAGGAAGGCGATGACTAGGCATACGTAACACATGTCCTAACCATCTCAATCGATGTAATTTCGCAGCCATGTCGATTGATTTCCCCTCCTTACTTAGCATTCGACGCCTAACCTCAATATTACTCACCTTATTATACCGCTTCACACGGGAGATAGAACGCAGACATCTATGATCAAAGGCAGCTAATCTTTTCATGTCTCACAGCCATAAAGGAGGACGAAGCGGACTACTGAGCAGTACACCTGCCGTTTGGTCGATAGTCGGATATCACGTCTACGCCAGAGACGGCATAAACTGGCATATGCGAAACTAGCCCTCTGTATTCGTGCTGAGATTTCGTCAGAGAAATCATTATCATTCTTAGCATAATTATGATGTTCGTGACTGATAGAAGACATCCATAATCATTATGGCCATACAAATTTGTAAGATTTATTTTTTAAGCAACAAGTTTAAGGACAATAGATATAAAACACATACCTACACCCACAGAAACACACACACCAACATAGATACAGCTAATTACATTGAATGGAAAAAAAAGCCAAAAGATTTTGTTTGTTTGTCTGTATGTATGCGCGTATTTAATAAAAGGGTGGAAAAGAACAAGAGTTATACACTAGTAAGTAGCCTATATACATGCCAACACAGACCACACACATACACACAAGCAGTGAGTAACCATCATATATGTATGGATGGATGTGGGCATTATAATTAAACAAAAGGATTCAAAATATACATTACTTATTACTGTTATTACTATTATTCAGTAGTATAGAATAACCGAATCACCCCTTGAGAAATTGAAGATTAGAAAGAGGTAGGCATAATAATAATAACAATACTAGGAAAACGGTATTTGTTTTGCATATATTTTTTTGAGAACACCATGAAACAAACAAGGGAGAAATTTACACATATATATATTAATAATGAAACCTAATATAAATGAAATATAGAAAAAAAACGGTTTGGTTGGTTTATGCACGTTTTTTGTTCCTGTGGGATGTTTTTGTTTGTACGCCTGTCTGTCTGTATGCCTATCAACATGTGTAGAAATTGAATAATAACATGGCTAACTAGCCAAGATAACTGAACTGCAGTCAATGGAGTCCTAAAGACGCGCGCACACACGACAGCAAGGGGTGTGTGTGTGGGGGGGGGGAGGCGGCGTCTTGAGTACATTATTCAAACCAAATTTTGTAAAAAAGAACAGTTCAAACATCATGGCAAACAGATCAAAGGAAAAGTTCTAATACTTTACAATACACAATAATAATAATAATAACAATAATAGTAATACAACAATAGTTGGTTGTCAACGTCAGAGATAATCAGTGCACAGCATCCAACCGAGCAGTTGTCAGGCTTTCATCTTTACAGAAGGTTACCAAAAGGATAATAGGTACATACACACACATACATATATATACGTAGTTGGTAGACACCAGAAGGAAACTGTTTCCATAATCACAGCCGATTACATTATAATTTTGGATGGGGCTGGGGGTGGGATGGGACTGGGGGAGATTAGTGCTTTTCCTTTGATAATGTCCTTACATTTGCATTTACAACATGTGATTTGTATGTGTGTGTGCTTGTGTGTGAATCTACATACAAGAGATAAATGGCTGTTCGCCTGGCTTGGCTTGGCGCGTATGTCACACACTGAAACAGTCAAAAGCACTCAGTCTCATTCACAAGAATCCCTGATTATTATATCAAAAGAAAAGCATATGCAACTAGTTCAAAGGAAACTCTGTGTGTGTGTGTATTTGTGTGACACACACACAGACACACACAGAAAGCAGAGATGATGACCAACTTAACGAACGAAGTAATTCAATCGATTGAATTTTGTGCACAATAAACAGTCAAGTAGTTGATGGTGGTGATGTCGGTGAAACAGGATCATCTTGTCCTTCTATTGTTGAAGCAGCATTATACAATGGAGTAGCTGAATCTGGTTCATCTGAATTCGATCCTAATTCAGAAGTGACAATCGATAGATTTGATAAGGTCGGTGGTAATTGATGAGTCAAGTAGACTGAATCTTCATTATTACTGTTATCCTCATTGGTGATCATCTGATGAGTGTTCAGTAAAGTATTATTATGCCTAGATGAAATGTCATCAATTGTATTTGAAACAATATTATCAGTGATACTGTGCTCAAGTGTAGTATGATGAGTAGTTTGAGTTTCTACACCTAATGAAGAGGATACATTGGTACCACCACCTCCGGAAGCAGCAGCAGCAGTCACCAGAGGATCTATTCCAGATGTTCTTGACTGTCCATTGAAATTTGAATGAGCAACTAAATGCGGTGGCAATGGGTCGATTACAGCTTGTTCTAATCCACTTGTTAAATCACTCACCGATTTACTCTTTACACACTGAAAATCAACATGTCTCGATTTATTCTCCTCTTCTTCCCATGACATACGTAGAAATGGACACTGGACATAATTGTAAATAGCTTCAGGTCGACCACCAGGACGAAATTTCACCCGATCTTTACACGTTGGATAACCTTCAATACCGATACGAATTTTTTTCAAACTACGCTCCAATAGGACTTGTTTAGCCACTTCACGATTCTCGATATACTTTAAAAATCGAAACATTTGTGTACTATAGATAATATGCGAGTTTAATTCATTCTCTGGCATTTGTGGAGGATATTCAGGATCCCAGTCGATAATTTCATCATCTGTTACAATGACAATATGACATTCACGTTCACCTAGTTGTGTGCATTTAATCAATAAGTTGAGAATATGTGTTTCAAGAAATTGTCCAAATATAATATGTGCACCATCATTAGATAATTCATGTAGAAATGCACGTAGATTTTCACAATGTACAGTTTGTTGATTGAATGGTATGAGAAAGTAATCACAGGCTTCTTTTAACTCTTGTACTGATACACCCGGTGGACATGTCATCCGACCAATTAAATAATAATCGAGTAGTGTACGAAATACTTGAGCGGAGATATTTGAATCTTGAGCAATTGATATATCAGGTGGATGATGCATTTGATAAGGAGTATTATAACTCTGATGGTTATGATGCTGATGCTGATGGTAACGATGAACTGTTGACGATGAAGACGAGGAATGATTTGTATTAAACATTCCACCTGATGTTGTTGTCGTTGTTGTCGCAACAGAGGCAGCAGTAGATGTATTTGTAGTTGGTTGAGATTTTCGATCACTTGGTGGACTACTTTCAATTGATGTTGACTGACAATAACTACTGGAGCCACCGCAACCGCCACCACTCCCACTCCCGCAGACAGGACCTGGTGGATAATCATATAAATATTTTGTTTCTAAAAATTGTGAATTAAACATACGACCAAGCATTGTATTCGGATGGGCTTGTAGTAAATCCAAATCGATTAAAAAGCGTACACCGTCTACAAGAAGGCTAACACGTCGACGATTCGATGGTCCATTAGATGACTGTCTTGTACTACTAGAAATGAAATGGAGAAAATAGAAATAAGAAGAAATTAAGTAATGATTACAGTTATAGGAGTATTGGACAGCTGTTCTGGCAGCCTAGTTTGGGACATCCAGTGTGTGCGTGGGGGGGTTCGAACCCAAGAGCTCCCAGTTACAAGAGGAGCTCAACAACCATTCAGCCCTTGGGATCCAATCTAATACCTCACGAATTCTAACTTTTACCAATTGGTGATTTTAGCGTAACTCCGCCAGAAGCACCACAATGTGTTATCGGTGGGTATTTTGTTCTCACACTCGACCTGGTGGTCCCCATGGGTCACGACCACTAGTGAGTATCAGATTAATTTTTAAGAGTTGGTTGACAGGGAAAAGATTTAAATGCGGACAATAAATTCACAATATCTTTTGACATTATCTTCCATATTCAAATAATTTACTATTGACGTAAACAGCAGATTTTATATGCGAAGAACTTATTAGATGAAACATCGATGTTGACATTCCAGTATTTTCTATGGAGGAATTTCTTCTGGCATGCATAATGAATGCCTATTTCTTTTATTGAATAAGGAATTCTACAAACAAGTTGATGGTATGACTGCCTTATGTGGGATCACCACTAGGTTCAACTATCAACATTAGACACAGGACCTTCGAGAGGTGTGTAAATGGTGAAATACAATCATGTTGTCGTTACATGGAGGAAACAGTTTTTGATTATGATAGATGAGAATGAAGCAAACATTATCATTCTTGACAAATTTAATGATGTACACCCTGGAGTAAATTTTACCACGGAGAAAGAAAGAAATGATAATAATTCCATACCTAGACATTCAGATGACTAGGAAAGAGGACTATAACATAAAGAGGAATATATATGTATATATATCATTGTTTCCTTTTTAGTATTTCCTACATTTGGTGGCACTATCACTACCGATAGTAGAATACTCATCAACCACTCACGTGGTCTGGTCCGTGGCCGACGCACTCCTAAACCTCGCTTAGCCGACCGTAGGCACGGTAAAGAAAGAATGAATAAAATGACAGACAGACGGATATCATGTCCATGTCACGGATGTATCCATCGTGAAATTTAGTCAGTCATCAATCAGCCAATTTGGGATCGATCAAATCTCCCAGATAAGTGAAGTGGTCAGTCAACACGCCCAAACAATTCACTTCACTCTCTATCCTTTAACTAAACTAGGCGCCAGTGCAGTAGATCAATTCTGCATTATCATCATCATCTTATATTTGACACAGACCAAATATTTGAAAAGATTTCTGCTGAATGGTGTTCATATAACTCTGCATTTTTGTCAGTCTGTTCATCTACATGGATGAAATCATCTGCACAGTCTAAGTCGACAAGACTATTCCCCGGGTAAAAAGTCAATGCCTAAGTTGCTGAAGTTGTACAACGTACCAGGCCAACTATGAGAACAAAACTTCAAAGTGAAAGAAAGGCGCATGGAGCAACTCTTTAAGATAATCAACTGCTTCAATTTGAGTCTCAAAGACACAGTATTTCGCATAATCCTCATGAAGCAACACAATCAAATAAGAAAGCGTATATCTGATAATAAATACATATAAGTATTTCACAAGTTGATCACAGATTGATATCAGTTAGAGAAGCATTGAAAACCAGCTGGGGTGGGGGAGGGGGAGAAGTGGACAGCCAGCTGTTTCATCAGCCTAGTTTGGGAATCATCGGCAGTACGCACCCATCACAGTGGGGTTCGAACCCAGGACCTTCCGGTTACAAGGTCAGCTAGCTGGCTTATATATCATTCAGCCACTGGGTCCCAATTCAATGACAAGCCCATGAATTCTAACTTCTACCAATTCGTGATGCATTTAGCGCGACCCCAACAAATGTCGTCGGTGAGACATCCATCCTCACTCTTGACTGGATGGGTTCAAACTCCAGTGGGTGCATACTGCCGATGATTCCCAAACTAGGACGAAACAGCTGTCCAGTACTCCAGTGCTGATTTTCAATGGTTTTCTAACTGATATCAATCCGTGTGTGGTCAAACTCATAAAAGCAATACTAATCCTTACAAACCAACTGTTGAAAATTAATCTGATGCTCGCTAGTGACTTGCTACAGGACGGAGATTCCTGGAGTCAGTTCTAGTGAGAAATCGTGACCACTGAGGTCCATGCAGTCAAGTGTGAGGATGGATTTCCCACCGACGACCACTGATTGGTTGGTGCCAGTCGCACTAAATGCATCGCGAATTGGTAGAAGTTAAAATTAATGTGCTGACCATTGAGTCGGGTTTCAGTGGCTGAATGGTATACGAGCCAGCTAGCTTGCCTTGTAGCCGGAAGGTCCTGGGTTCGAACCCCACTGTGGTGAGTGTGTACTCCCCATGATTCCCAAACTAGGCTGATGAAACAGCTGGCTGTCCACTACTCCCCCTCCCCCACCGGCTGCTTTTTAATGCTTCTCTAACTGACTGATATGAATCTGTGTGCGTGGTCAAACTCGTAAAGAAAACAAAACTAATCCTTACACACGAACCATAGAAAACATATGAGCATACTTACTTGATAGGTGATGCCAAGTTCACTTCACAGAATGGTAATGATGATAACGAATAACGTCGTTGTTGTTCAGTATTTGTTGACTGGAATAAACCTCCACCACTTTGTTGACTTCCACCAGTATGATAATGACTGTCAACTGTTTGCTGGTGATGATGATGTTGCTGATGACAACCACCACCGCCGACAACACTGTTATGCATAGGACGTGGATAGAATAATTTCGATTGACAAGAGGATGCTGCTGCTGGTCCTCCTGATGGAAGAGGTTGTGATGGTGGTGGAGCAGGAGTAGACGGAGGCGGAGGAGACGATGACGACAAGGTGAAATCAAAGCCAGTATCATCATAATATTCTCCTCGAGCAGAATTTATTAAACTACAACCACTACAACCACCACTAATGCTACTGCCACTACAACCACCAGTTATGTTATTAGTATTATTATTATGTCCATAGTAATGATCTGATTGATAATTTAATCTAACTGAACTTGAACACGACTCAGGTGGAGAATCACAATAAACATTGTTACTATTATTATTATTTGTTAATGAATGTACACGATTTGTATGATGTAACAAATGGTTAGCTTTATGCATTTGATCAGAGATTGATGAACCTCCTGCTCCTCCTGTTGTTGTTGTTGTTATTCCAGAGGATGATGATGTTTGATGATAAGCACTGATAGCAGATGAACGTCGACCAGACGACTGTGTACATGATGATGGTGTAGTGAAATTGTGGCAGTTATTCTCATGATGATTAGGATAAGCAGTAAATATACATGGAATGTTAGATACATTTGATCGTATACTCTGTGATCCATTGGAAGTGTGTCGATTCGAATGAACTGGTCTAACTGAAGTTGTGGTATTGGTTGTAGTAGCAGTAGTATTAGATGATGTAATCAGATTATCAGATAGAAGACAATTCATCATCATCACATGACTATCACTCAGAATACTGATTCTTCTTTGTCCTTCATCACCTTCTTCTTCTTGACCTTCTGTCTCCTCATTATTATCATTATTATTATTCATAGGTAATGATGACGGTGTCACCACCTCTGACAACGTGTTATTATTATTATTGATTAAATCACCCGGCGGGATATCAATTAATGAATACCTACACTTAAAATCTGCTACTCCAGAACAACAATTACACGTTGAAGAAGTAGAATAACGATGATTTGTGATGAGTGATGCCTCATTATCATTTGTCGTTGAATGCCGATGTTGATGATAGGCGTGGGTATGGTCGTGGTGATAACAGTGTTGATGTAGATTATTATTACACAGTAAACCTGATGTACTACCATTACAACAACTGTTATTAGTAGTAGTACTGACACAGGATCGATCAATCGCTATTTGTCTTTGTAGATTTTGTGTCGCTGTTGTTGTCGTTGTTGCTATTGTAGCATTACCAGTGGGCATACTTGTCAGTGGATTCGACGAGTTATCTAAAATTCGTACACGATTTCGTTTATGTCGTGTTATACTACTAGGCTTAGCACTACTACTACTATTTTCATTTGTCCAATCAGAAGTAGCAAGATGATTAGTGAAATTTATTGATGGATTCCTCGATCGATAGTGATGATGATGATGATTATCGACACCATCAACATCGTCGGCGTCATCATCATCAATGATTGACAAGTGATCAGTTGTATCTGTACCCATACTATTTGTCCGTCGTTGAGGATTATGCTGCTGCAGCTGCTGGTGGTGATGATGATGCAATCGATTCCGACGACGTCTTTTATCACGTTTGCTAGTATTACTACTATTATTAGTAGTAGTCACATTAGTTGGTGTTGTAGTAGCCATGTTAGTATTATTGTTCTTTTTATTCCTAATATTGTTGTTTTTGTTACAAGTATGATTGAGTTTAACAGAGGATGAAGAACACGATGCACCATATCCACTTTCACCATCCACTTCATCCACTGCTTCTTCTCCTTCTTGTTGTTGTTGTTGATGACGACCACGGTGATGATGATGGCGTTGGCATTTACCATGATCATCTTCAACATCATTATAATACTCTCCGTCAACATGCATATCTTCATTAACTCGACTTTCGTCTTCAATGCCTTCCTCGTCGTCCTCGTCTGCGCCTTCTTCATCTTCTTCATCAGCTTCGCCTTCTCCATCGTCATCCTCGTCATCATCATCATCATCATTGGGATTCTCTTCATCAGACAGATAACTAGGTGAGAAATGAGATGATGAAGCAGTCGATGTATTCGTTATTGATCTTAACAGACTATGTTGATGGTGTTGTTGTTGTTGGTGATGGCGTAGAGCAGCGACAACAGCTTGAGCTAAAGGCGGTGCAGGAGAATCAGGTGGGCTGATAATATCACCATCATCATCATCATCATGATGATTAGTGTTCAATTGATCGTTGAGATTATTTCCACCATTACAATTATTATTCATCAATAGACTATGGATGATATTCTAGGAAAGAAATTTTCATGAAAAAAAAACAGAAACAATAATCAGAATAATACTAATATCAAGTCGGATACATTTTACAAAATAATAATAATAATATATTCTCACTTTTGTATATGAGGGACACCAGTTTACAGGTATCATCAATATGATAAATTACATATTTTTTATTTTTGTTATTATAGCTTGATTCCACAGCGTATTTTTGGTGCAAGTATGGAATTTTCAGCATGTGATATCGGTAGCTCAAATTTCGCAGGCCGACCATAGATATCAGGTGTGCGTTGGCAGGGGATCGAACCCCGGACCATGTGCATGGTTGGTGAGAGTCCTAACCAATGTGCCACCGACGCAGAGGTATCCAAATACGAATATCGGCTTTCGTATTCACAATCTTTACACAATTTTGTAGTGTCAAGCATGTCGAGTGTAGTGCTTGTCTGATGATATTTTGATTTTCATCAAAGGGGATCAAGGTAAATTGTGATTTGAAAAAATGATTATTTTGGAAAAGATATGATTCCATCTGTTGAAAATTATTATTTTCTTTATATCTTGTCATTGAAATGACTGTAACGAGAATTTCGGAGTTGTCCCTTATTATTAGTCTAGGCGTTCGACTTCCAACCAATGGACGACAAGTCTGAATCCCCCCCACCCGTTTCCACCTACCAAGGTTTGGACAGACAGGTAATATACCATTAGCCTTCGTACGCACATTAAGTGTGGCTTATTGCCAACTGAGCATAGAATTGCAAATGGTTGTTCAGTAAGATTTCAGTCATTTTTATTCAACACTATTATTACTATTTTATTATTTAAAACACAAAACCTGATACAATATGGCACCGAGAAGATAATAAAACGACATATGAGAAAAAATAAGGTAAAGAACTAATACAGAATTTTATCTGGGAAGAAACATTCATATTTGACAAGAGCAAACAGCATTCGTCGAACAATTATCAGAAAGGGAAGGAAGAAGGAAATTGCAGCACTCCGTCATTGGTGATTGCGATTCGTGGTCATATCCGATAATGTTCCGAGCCGGCGACTCGAGCTACCTATCGGACCCCACAATGTCACGTCATGGGCAGACCAACCATCTCTCCGCTTTTTCCATCCCATACCAGGGTTGGCCAGCGAACAAAGGCCGGTACGGAAGCCTCTGGGATGACATTCGTAGCACATATTTAAGTCACCAGAGGTGGCGTTTCCAGATGACAACACTCAATGAATGATGATCTCCACTGTGTCCAAACACACGCCGGAGCTCAGAGTTACTCACATGATGATACCATAGAACGCGAGCAATTCTACGGAGACGGCGATGATCGGATACGCAGAGTCGCCGCACATCCTAAGCTCAGAGAGGCGTCGAGGACGACAGTGCGTGCCACAGCATTGTAAATCTGGCCTTTGACAGCCAGGCTAACGTCGCGATAGCGCCAAGAGTTTCAAATTTCAACAATATTTCTCTCAATGTAGCGCATACTTGTACTGATATAGGAAGGAGGTTTATTGAATCTTTGTTGGTGGCTCAGTGGCAGAATGCTCGCCAACCACGCCTCAATATGGCCCGGGGTTCGACTCCCCACCGATTCGTTTCTAAATCTCGCTTAGCCGATACTAAGCCAGATGGAGAGGGGAGGTTCGTTGTGGGGATAGCAACCCTACCCAGTAAAAACGTTACTACAGCTACTGAAACTTTAAAGTTCTCAAGCTTGAGGCCCTATGTTCTAATCAGAGTACACAGAAATGAAGTAAAAAAAATTGGGATTATTAAAAAGAAGACGAATAAATCTGGTTAGAAAAGAAAACTCACATTATTCATAGCATTGATAGCATCAACTGACGGTGGGGGACTACGAGATTGACTTCCACGCTTATCCAGGAATTCCATATGTGAATGTCTTCGCCTTGTGCCTAATACAACACTTGCAGATGGTGTATAGCTTATCGAAGATGGTGGTGAAGAGAAACTAACCGGTTTACACTTGGAATAGACAACTTTATTGACGTTATGCGTAATTGTCTCACTTGAACAGGCTGTATTCGATTCACATGAAGAAATCTCACAGACTGTCTGTTGAAATCCACTAGAACTGGAGAATTTCAAGTGATGATTATTTGTTGTAGGTGGTCTGGGGCCAGCTGAACTAGATGGTCGTAGAACTAGACAGGGTTTAACAGCAGTACGATAATGAGTTGGATCTGATTCTTGATCACAAATTGCATTCAATGGTCTTGAAACACAACCGGTACTGTGACTTCGACCTCGACCAGAAGGAGACTGATCAGATCTGTTGTGAATAAACAGTGATAGAAAATCTATTAGTTAGCTAAATATGCATAACTATTACTGGACTAATAAAAATCTTTTAAAGTTGAATAAGCAAACACCAGAATGTAGGACATGGATTATGAATCTTATGAAGTAAACTAATGATACATTTTCAAGTCTTATTTTGGACGGGTTTGACTGATTTCAAGATTGATGACGTCTGTCTGTCTGGATTCAACATAGAACTTGGCACCGAAGTGCACCAGTTCGAGTTGCCACGTTCCAAATAGCACACAAAGGTAGACAAGAAGATGAGTGGAGAGAATCAATAGAGTTTTGACAAGTATAAGAGTGAAACAGAATGAGTAATGGTAGAAAGGAATATGAAAGATTACAGAGACTGAATACATCTGCGTAAGCCATTGACAACGATTTTGAGCCATGTCACCTATTGTCTCCAGCCATTGATTCTTAGAGTCCCGAGGGCCCCAACCCGGAAGTCTACATCTCCCTACCTGACACAGTTTAACTGTCAAGGATTTCATGGATTGATGAGGCCATGTTTTTGTTTGGCCACCACTTACTCTTTTCCAACCTGCACCTACCTATATCAGCTAGTAATGCCCGTCGTGGGAGACGATGGTTAGGCATACACAGCACGTCACCTAGCCATCTCAATCTATGTAACTTTATAGCCTCTTCGAGTGATTTTCCCTCTCTGTCCAACACTCTACGCCTAACGTCAACATTACTTACCCTATTATACCACCTAACGTGGGAAAGAGATCGTAAACATCTATGATCATAAACAGACAACCTTTTCATGTCTTCAACTCATATTGGCCATGTTTCAGTGCCATAGAGAAGGATGGAGAGAACTGCTGAGCAGTACACACGTCCCTTGGTTGATAGCCGGATGTCACGCCTACGCCAGAGATGGCGAAAGTTAGCGTAAGCAGCCCGAGCTTTTTGGATCCGTGCTGAGATTTCGTCACCAATCAATCCGTCGATGCTGATACAACTTCTCAAATAGGTGAAGTGGTCAACATGTTCTATCACTTCACTCCCTATCACTAAGCTATGAGTTGACGTAGTCCAGTCCTGTAGCAGCATCTTACATTTTATAGGGCGAATCGCATGCCAAACATTCGAAGATTGCTGCTCAAGGTGTTCAGAAGACTAGATTGATGACGAAGTGACTTCAATTAGAGAACCACTGGAAACCGGGGAGTACTGGGCAGTTGCTTCGTCTTTAATCGGTGCTCTTCAGAGCCACACACCAATGACCCCACCGGGGAGGGGACTGAAAATCACTCTGGTACTCATTAGTTGCTGACCACAGGAAAAAGTTGTCTGAAGCTATAGTATGAAGTAGTGGTCAATGCGGTCCATCAAGTTGGATGTGAGGACAAATACTCGCCGACGATATGGACTGGTGACAACTAGTGGTGTCTGTCAGGGACGTAATAATTGACTTAACCCTAACTCATTTTAGAGACTCAGTGATTGACCTGTTACCAGGGAATAAGCATAGTTAATTGACCTCACCCAGCTAGAATGGTGAGCGGAATGTGCGTTCTGAGTAGCTGAAGTTCCAAGAGGTAGTAATATTCAGTAGCTTTGTAGATACACAAGTAGCTAAACCTATTGTTTGAGTCAGTGGTTGACACATCGCTGTCACTAACTGTTGACAGGGATCGATGGAAAATTTCTCTTTTTCGCTTCATTCAGTGCGGAGAACATTGAACGCAAGAAAACAGTTGAAAAACTTCTGTGCTCAAATTCATATTCAACTAGACCTGACAGCATCTTCAGTCTGATACAGAAGGATTAATATGTAGTATAAATAACCATGAGTAAAAGGATTAAAAAGTCACTGAATCTCAGTAACTTCTCCAGAAATAATAGGTGCACTGAAACGTAGTTCAGTGAGATTCAAACACGCCGAGTTAAAAAAGATTAAACATAGACTAATATATGACCTACAAAATGACTATTGGTTGAGGTGAACAACAAAAGTCAGAAGAATGTAGAAGACAGTGGCAATAGTAGACAGGCGTTGAAGCTGACCAGATGGCTAACTATGTTTCAACATAGAACTTAGTACA